TATTCCATCTCATATCCTGTCATGTTTAGTATGTTAACCAGGACTGACTGGAAAGGGGGGGAATCTCTCTGGCTTTTCTCGGGCTCTCGCTCTTCCAGGATTGCGGTTTCAGTTTGGGATTGTTGCTCCTCCAGGATCGTTATCTGGGAACGGGCCGGGCTTGGTCGGCGGGTGGTGAGCAGCTGCACTGATTATGATTCACTTGCATATTTTATTACTGTTATCATTATCCCTACTATTTTAATGTTAGTATTTTTTTTTAAGTTTTCTTTTATTTCTGTTATTAAACTGTTCTTATCTCACCCTACAAGCCTCCTTTTCCTTGCCCCCAATCCTCTCCCCTATTCCCTGGGGGTGGGGGGGAAATGGGTGCATGTCTGTGTTGGCTGCTAGCCAAGGGCTAGCACAGTGGAACTGTCACAGGTGCTCAGAGATATGGTTGAGTAGCGGACAGGTATGGTTGGACTCGATGATCTCAGAGGTCTTTTCCAACCAGGAGATTTCTATGATTCTATGATTCTTCTCGCAAAGGCTACCTTGAGCTGTCTACATCCTTGCAGTCTGGAGGAGGAAAGGTGGAGGCTTGGAAGCGAGCTGATTTTTTTTTGTCCGCAGACGGACTGGAGCCTTTTTCTCTGGCTGAGCGCTCACGCTTGGAGCTGAAATTAGGTTTGCTCAGTCTAACCCTGTTCTCTGGGTCCTGATGGTTCTTTATGCCGTGACACAGTGCCTCAGCTCAGCTGACACAGGATTCCTTGTAGAGCTTCGCTACAATAAAAGACTCGCACATGTTTCACATTTCAAACATGCTTTAATGAACTTATAAAGGTAATTTACAATAAAACAATTAAATACCCAATAAGTTAAAACACAATACAGTTATGCCTAGTATTTCCAAGGGCTCGAATGACTATCAGGTTCCAATACATTAAGACTTTAAGACAACATTAACATTCAAAGTGTACCTACGCCTATACTTACCATTGTAACAGGTCTCAAGCCTCCCAACAACGCACATTTTTGGTTACAGTCCCTGTACACGCACAAGACCAGTGAAATGCTCGAGCAACTGTACGATTGGGAAGAGCACTACACGAGACAGGCACGAACGATGTGCTGGAAGCTGCCTGGGGAACGTGGGTTTTACCTCTAATTGAATCGACACTTTGGACAACAAATGGAAGGCGCTGGCATGCTTTCTGGAGTACGTGTGGGAAGGAGTCTCCGTGTCCCTTACTTAGCACTGTAGTTTCACAAGTGTTTTAGGTTTGTGCTGCCTAAAGAAATGCCCCACCTCTCTCTGGCCGTTTGTTCCCGCGCGCATCTCGCGCTGCCCTCGAGCCAGTGCAAAGCGCTTGTACCTGTGCTCAGTGAAGCAGCCGGGGGAAGCGCCTGAGCTTCACGCTAACTCAGCTCGGATTCCCCCTGGTTTCCCTGGTCACGTTCCCTGTGCGGATGCGCTGGCATCAGAAAGCCACTGGCACAGAAGAGGGACAGGGTGCCTGGGAGCAGGGGGACGGTTCCCGTAGGCAGCAGTACTGTTAAAAACATCTTGTGGAACTACAGGGTTCAGGGGGGTTTATTTATTTATTTTGAAACAAAGAACATGTTTTTGAACCAATTTATAGTGCAAATCAAACAGTCAAAACCAAAATGAGGGACTCTGCCAGAATATACAAGAACTTTTTCTGATGTATCTCATCCCTCTTTCTCTCTGCCTCAGCCAGCTGGTGCTCAGGGACAGAGTGGACTTCAGGCGCTGATATTGAAGGGTGCACTGCGTAAGGAGTGCAGGGCCACCAGGCAGCAACCACGAAGCAATGTGCCAATATTGTAAACGGGACCTGTTCCTCCCCTCTGAGTACTGAAAGCCCATACGAGAGTGGGCACAACAGGGGCTGCTAGAGCCACGACATCTCTGAGGAGACTGCTGCTCCAGTAGCTTGTCTTTCTTCCTGTCTGAGAGAAAGTATTAACATACCCAAAGGTTTCACAAGGTTCATCATCATCAGGTTCTGTAAAATCAAGTTCTTTCATGAAACCATTTTCACTAACTCCACGCTCCGCCTTCCCGCATGGAGACTCCATAGGAGACAGAAGGATGGCAGAGTTTGGATCAGTTGGCGTTAAGTCCACTACAATACCAGAATCACTGAAGCTTCCAGGGGAAAACTCACCCAATTCCTTCAGTGAAGAAGGTGGGCTTAGAGGACAGGCATCTGGAGCTCTGAAGATGTTTTGAATGAGCTGCTCCACATCAATGCTGTATGGCACCACATCAGTCTGGACGGCCTGTACTCGATTCATCATGTTGCTGCTCTTCTCCTTCTCCTCCTGGGAAGAAGTTAGATATTCATTCTGAACATTTTCTGGCCTCTCTTTATTCATAGCACGAGTAGAGGCAGCTGGATGAGTCAGCTCAGAGGTTCTGGTGGTCAAACTCTCTTCAGATGCATCAGTCCTGTTAGCTAAGTCCTCATTTAGAAGCAGCTCGCTATCTGCTACCTCCTCCAGAGCTGGGTCCTCTGTGAGGAGGCTGTTTGGCATCCCCTCTGAGTCACAGGCGTACTCCAGGCCCTGCCCATCCCTCGTGGAGCTGTTCTGAGCCATCTCCATGCTCTCTAGTAAAGATTCCAGTTTCTTGTTCTGAATGTTTATGTCTGTGAAGTACTTCTCAATTTTTTTGTCTTTTTCAGACAAGCTGCTTTTCATGGTTTCAATAACCTGCTTGAGCTGTTTAATTTCACTTCTTGCTTCCTTTAGGGCCAACTCCGCCTCCACACGATTACACTCTTCTTCAATCCAGTCTTCCCTCATCCTTCCCAGCTGAGCTTTGAGCTCTTCTATTTCTGTTTCCCTGTAGCAAAATACACATGTTGTAACACTTCTGCTGACTGGTCAGTGAAAGAGCCACCGTGAGGCTCCACACACTGGGATGGCTATGCTGCAGAGATGCTGCAGGAGGAGACAAATGCCTCCACCCACCATTTGCTGCCACCTCAGAGAGAGCTGGCAGGGAGGTGAGCTGGCAGGGGCGTGAGCCGCTGCCAAGACACGCCGGCTGATTGCTGACTGGAGTCACCGACCTCACCACACAGCCAGCAGTCTGGTGGGCTATGCCGTGATCCTGGACAGTTTGAGGTGCAAGTGGTGACCTGTAGGTCAGGTCTAACCAGTACAGTGCTTAACATCTCGCCTGCGGCCTCGCCCTGGAGGAAAGGAGATGCGTGGATGCGTCCCCCGTGCCCACCAGCAGCTCCTCACGTGCAGCCAGAGCCAACACTGGGCTCAGACAGCAGGACAGCCCGCAGCTGCAGGCACCTGCCTTGCTTTGCCCAGCGTGGAGCCAGAGGCTGCTGCCTTGACTTGCAAGGAAGTAGGGAGAGGGGCCCTACTAGAAAATAGAGCCTACTAGAAAGGCCTGTGTCAAAGGTATGAGCGTGCTATGAAACCTGAAACACCTGAAAACCACCTAATCGGCCTGATCGTATTTCAGATTTCTTAATGAACAATTTACATGGACAAGAAATGAGTAAAACTGTTCAGGATTCCCACCCCTACATGCTCCTGAAGAAATCTTTCTAACTCTTTTTGAAGTGAAATATACCTTTCTTTAAGTTTGCTCTCAGATTCCTTCAGCTTGGTTTTCAAATGCCGTACTGTAACTTCTTTCTGCTGCAGAGGAGTCAAATACTGCTCTGGATTTTGTGGTTTAATGCTGTGATTGTCACCACAAGAATTGTATCTCCCTGATCGTCTGAAAAGGAAAAAACAAACCATCACAACACATCACTCCGACAGAACAGGTTGCCCAGAGACATTGTGGATGCTCCCTCCCTGAAGTGTTCTAGGCCAGACTGGATGAGGCTTTGAGTGGTCTGGTCTATTGGAAGGTGTCCCTGCCACCGCAGTGGATTTTGGAACTAGGCCATCTTTAAGGTCCCTTCTAAACCTAACCATTCTGTGGTTCTAAGATTCTTTAGTCCTGGAAAAAAGAAAAACATCCCATTGATGGATACAAAGCTGTGTCTACACTTGGCTCATCTGGGGCATTTGCATGAGTGACTCCCTCTGGCAAATCAAAGTACTTGAGGAAACGGCTCATTTCTGGCTCTAGTCCAAAATTTACTATTTACTAGTTTATTGGTTTCAGTGCCGTTTGATCAGACGAGACATTTAACTTTAAAACCCCGAGACATCCCCTCACCCGAAGCGGGTGGCGTCCCCAGAGGCAGGCAGCTGGGCCACCAGCAAGGGCACCCAGCTGCAGAGATGGCCCTGTGAGGCAGCGTACGGGCTGAGTTCAGCTCCACACCTGAGTTATGAAACTGTGCACCCTGAAACCGAGACTCATCCTATCTAGCTTGGGGTGTGTATCATCTGACATGCTCGGCTGTTAAGCTGCGTGAGAGAGAGAGAGCCAGAGAGAGACTGGGAAACAGCAGCAGTAGTGTGGTGGCAATTTCTTCTCTGCAACGCACGTCACGTGCGCTGGCAGGTATCTCTTTCCTTTTCCATACAGGAAACTGCCCAGGGAGGTGCCTAAGGCTGGGCAGGGTGAATTTGTTTTCCATACTACCCCACCCAACTCTCTCCAAAGCAAAAGGACCCTCATACGAAAGAAGCAGTAAATCCACATGAGAACGGACATGAAGGAGCCTGCCTTGGAGTGAAGACCAACTACAAAGGGCTTTGGCTAAAAGTACCCTTGAATTTGATAGTGCTGAAAGAATCAAGCTTTTACACGGGATGGAGCACCCTGTTGACTGTCAAGCCACCAACATGAGGAGTCACACCTACGCTGAGGAGCAAGGTGACCTGCTCGGCAAGCCAGACAGCAGAGGAGGTAAGTGAGCGCGCTGAACACCGGGATGCTGAAAGAAAGACTTGCCTGGTCACTGGGCTGCTGTCACTTCCCTTGTATGAGCTTGAGTTGCTGCTGCTGCTGGCTGAAGAAGCCCTGTAACTCTGGTGGATGTTAGGAGGACTCAGCTGGTTTTTGCACAGTGTTGACAAAGAGTCCTTTTCACGGGAAGCAGGTGGGCTGGCTCCGGACTTGTAGGATAAGGATCCATTATTCCAACCATAAGGGCCACGTCTGGAAGGGAACCAAAATGGTTAAAGCCAACTGGATGATCCTTGTCACGCAACCCACAAAGTTGTCTGAACACTAAACCGGACAGCTAACTGGGAGTGGCCGGGAAGAAAGAAAGTCCTAAAGTCATCAGCCACTGCGTGTTCTTTCACTGCCTGGGGGCTCTTACTCTGAATTACCTCATCTAGGGGAACCTCGGCCATGTTTGCATTTCTCCGTGGACAGCGCGGGTCCCGGTGACTCCACCCGATCATTCACGTTCCCTGAACCCCTGACTCGGTTCAGTAATGAGAGGACCACAGCCTGGCCCAGTGCCAAAGGAACCACGCTTCAGCTTTCCCCGGCCAGGCCTGCGGAGAGGTGCCCAGCCGGGAGGTTTGCTGCAGGGCTGCTTTCACGCTCCTCAGTAAGCAGCCCCAGGGACCACAGCGTGCAGTGAAAACAGATTTTGCCTGAGCCTCTGGTCTTTCCTGCCTTTGGCATACTGGGGGCTTCAGCTGCCATTGTCAGCTCTTCATTTGCTTAGATATCGTTTGAACCCCGCTGAGAGCAGGCTGAAATGGGATTAAAATAGACAAAGGAAAGCACAGCCTTTTCTTTCTCCTTCCAGTTTCTCTCATACATGTCTGCCTTTCTTTTCCCAGTCTGTATTAAATAATCTGACTGTCAACTGTGTGTGCTTGCGAGCAATTCATCTCTGCACTGCCCGACTGCTGCCCAAGGGCCGGGGCGCTCTGAGGACAGCTTCTCCAGCCGCCTTCCTCGCTTGCTCGCTCGCTTTGCCTTCCTGCACTACTACGCTGCTACCTTCATCCTCCCATGGAAGTTGTTCTTCTAAACTGTAATGAAAGGGCAGGTTTGAAAAAATACAGAAAACGGCAAATCCAGCTGGCAAAAGAGAAGGCTTGAACAACAAAAAAAATTAAATAGTACACAATTATGAAGCAAAATATCTTCTTAAAATTGTCTGATTTGGGTTCCTCCCTTCTCTGAAAATGGAACAGTTTATAAGGAACAGATGGTTGAGTGGCTTCAGCAAACCTTCATCACACTGCTGCGGTTTGGGTGATTTTATAAGTATTTTACAATGAAGTGCAGGACTGTGGTTTGTGACAACACTGAAATGTTTCAGAGTAAGTCAAGTCAAACAGTTAAAAAAGAACATATGGCAAAGGGGACATCTCATTCCCCTCTGTACAGTACAGCATCAATTCTGGTGAGGCAGAACCTGCACAGACTGTGCATAACACTGCAGTGCATTTGAAGGAGCACTATTGTAGAGGAATTCTAAATAGGTCAGTACACTTTAATTAAAAATCTTATTTGAATACACAATCATATAAGAAATGATGCATGATCTTACTGAAAGTTAGGTGATTTTAGGGCTTCATATTATACTTAGTACTATCTTTTCCCACAGCCAGTGCCTTTCCTTCTTAGATTTACTCTAGAGAGTGCTTAAGTAATGTTTATTTTTCTAACAGTCTCATGATACAGATAGGAAACTGCTCATTAAGCTGCATCATTCTGCCCATCTCTGTACATTGGGGCACACTGCGACCTTGGAGACGTCCATACGACTCAAGCATACGGGTTCCCACTGCTGGTCCCAGCCTGCTTGCCAGCTCCTCCACAAAGGGCAGGACACTAGTCCTATCAGATTTGAACTTTTTCCTCCTACTCCAAAAAATGTAACCAGCAGGGACTGCGTGGGCAGAGCACAACATGTGCTGCTCCATCCAAATGCCGCCGTACTCGCAAGCTGTCTAGATTTGCAAGTCACACATAATAGGGAGAAAATTTACAGAAATCTTTAATGAAAGGGTCATTTAGATAGATGACTGCTTTTTTTTTTATTATTTTCATACAGTTTTAGTTATATCAAGGTTAGGCAAGGGTGTTTAAGAAAAAAGTGTTAAAGGCAATACTGTCTACTTCTTCCTACAAAAAATAAGGTCAGGATCTGGAAAGATACGTGCCGAGCTGACAGCTTATTACAGAGAGAGAACAAATTGGTAAGACCAAAAGGTTAAGGTTAACTGGTTAGAAGTACTGCTTTTAACTAACATATACCCAGTTGTTTTCTCCTCCACTCCAGCCAATGCCTTTTCTGCCTTACCTGATTGTATCTCACATCCTTGTTAGGAATAAACAACAAAAAAACCCCCAGTCAACTGATTTAGCATACTGATAATTTCTGTGCTCAAAATACAGCCTATTATTTTTTTCTTTCTCATATCACAGTTCTCATTGGTGTAAGTGCTACCCGAGAGCATAACGCTACCCCAACTGTTTTAAAACTCACAGTCCTAGCATTGCATGTACTAGCTGCAAGACCTTACACAGTAGTCTGTCTCTGCACTGGCAACACTTCCAAGATCCAGGAAAAATTGCTTTGCTTACTTGCGAGAAAAAGATCTTTTGCTTGCAGCAGCAGACATACGGACTTCAGGCGCTGAAATACTGCCCGTGCTGCTTGAAGAGCTAAAATCAGCTTCACTCCCTGGAAAGGAAAAGGGAAGAGTGAAAACATGATGGAAATTATTACTCAAAGACTGTTTCCAAAGTAACAGTGAATCACAAGCATCCTTCCTTTGTCTGTCTTGTGTGAATTTTAGAAGTTGCATGAATTTTCAAACATCCCTAGGGACAAGTGCTGGATTTGTTCCAGATTTTCAGTGCTTCTTAAGAACTGGCATTTCAACAGGAGCAGAAAAAAACCCAACATTTGGACACAAAACCCTCATGGTACAGAAGCCATTTTAGGAATCGGCTAGGAACATTTGTTGTGACAACCTGTTTGTTTTCTCACAGCCATCAATACATGAATGAGGTTGCTCACGTGGCTCCTTCAGGAGCACACAATTGTAACTGGAGACTTCTCTTGCTTTAAACCATACAAAAATACTACTTGCTGGGAGGAAAGCTGCTTCTATTTTAGTTTCTGAGATGATGTACACGTGTCCCTGGCCATGGCAAGGGCATTGGAACTAGCTTATCTTGAAGGTCCCCTTCCAACCCAAACCATTCTATGATTCTATGATATATGTATAAATGTGTATAGGCTAACAGTGTATATGCATATATACATATGTACACACATATGCAGGTTGTCATGTGGCACAGAGCATAGTAAGGCAGTTCTAATAGCCTTAAAATAATCCAATAATCACATGTGGCTCTCAAGTGCTTCTCAGGTGCTGAGCCACCTCTCTGATTACTGACTTTCTGTGGATCACAGCTTTTATTTCCCAAGCTCTGGCCCACACAAAGAAAACTGCTCTCATTTTCCTAAGGTCAGTAGTAGGCAGATGTACTAAGAAAATGGTATCATCTGGAAAAAAAGCCCACCCTAAAGTGAGGAATTTTTTCAGTCTTTCATTCAAACGGCCAGTGTCCCAAGGCATATTTAGGTCTCATGCAGAGTCACAGTAACGGATGGTGACTTTATCCGAGGGGATGGAAATAACTTTCTGAAATCCTTTCAGCAGCTGGTCAGAGGGAGCAGAAATTCTCTCACGTGAGGATTCCTGGGTGCCATCTCATGCACAGACATCCCTGGCCAGTGGCTGCAGACTTACCACAAACCCCATCTTTGCTGTCTTTTCCACGAGGGGGAGATGCAGCTGCAGTCACTATCATCCCCACCGCGGCAAATAAACCTTCGAGTGCACTCTCTGAAATCCTTCGCAGAGCTGATGGTGATGGGCACATCCTGCACCCCTGAGTACCTGTGATTGGGAAAGGGCTGCCAGGGCCTCTCTTCACAGCCTTAAAGAGGATGAGACATCCAGCAGCCATCCTTACTCTCAGCAATTGGTATGATCGGATTTAACCCGATACTTTCCCAACCTCACCAGGTCTGAGACCAGCCTCGATTTCTCTGGGTCTCTCATGCAGCTCAGCCCAGAATATTCCTCAGCCCAATTTCAAAGTGCTCAAATGCAAGGCTTAGCTCTTCAAAAGGGTGTCCCACAGACCCAGCTTTATCACCTCTAACCAACTCCAGATGCAGTACAACACCCCTGATAACCAGACCCGAGTCACCACAGGTCTAACCAGATCAGAACCGCGTGCAAGTTTGCAAGGGGAGGGAGGGAGAGCAGCGAAGCTGCTTTGTTTCACAGGGTATTTATATCCTGTCTACAGATGTGGATGTCAGTGACCCTCTCCTTGGGGAAGCAAAATGACTGTGGGACATGATGTCTGAAGCTGAAACAGAGTTTTCCTGATAAACAAAACATTCCCACCTACCGGACTACAAGTACACTCTGAATACTGCCTCAGTACCACACTACTCCCAAATCTACTTTTCCAAACAAGACCTGAACAGGTTAACACGTCACATGGATGTCATACCTTCAGTGTCTGGGTCCCCAAAACATTCCTGCCCTTGCAAGACGCCAGCAGCTTTCCTAAGCCAAGTCCTCACTGCAGCACAGAGAGCAGGAGCCCCAGCCAAGGCTCATCTCTGGTTAAGTAGATCACATCATAATCAGATCTCGCTATCAAAAGCATTTCAAGGAAGACAGGCTTGATAATCACCTCTCCCTGATCTGCCTGGCTTGGAGCACAGTGCTGGGAAGGGCTGCCGAGCTGGGCACTGCTGAGAAGAGTTAGCAGAGCCTGAAGACGCAACCACATTGAAGACTGGGCTTTCGGAGAGAGTGAACTCCATCTGAGACCAGGAACTGTGTCTGCAAAGCATGAATTAACCTTCCTGGCCCCAGTTCTGATAACAGCTACACACCAGCTTAACACTGAGCACAGGAGACTACTTACGTTTAAAATTAGGTATGTGGCTATTTAAAGGATCTATATTTATAAATTAAAGGGGTCACTGCTAATAATGATTCAAGGTGTGTTAGAGATGTTCAAGCCAGCTTTTTGTGTAGCAGAGTTCGACAGCAATGTTACTAGGAGACTTTAAAAAATACTTCCTCCTATTTGGTAGACATCTCTAAGCAAAATAGCACAGCATCTATCCATAAAATATCAATTACAATGTATTCTCCTGGGTAAATGTGACTTCTGCCTTTCAAATTTCTTAACAAAGAGGTGAAACTCCTTGTCTAGCAGCAATGCTGGCAGGAGCTGAGCATGGCCTCTCATCTCTCCTAACGTTGTTCTCCAGGCTGACAGCTCCCTAAGGATGCCTGTTGACTACTTTTGTTGTTGTGACAATGGGACTGCAAAAGCTCACACATGCTGCCCCAGAACAGCCCACCGATTCAGCGTTAACCATGAAAGAGCCTGATATTTCTTAAAAACATACTCTTTTGTCCTAACTGTCCAGAACACTTGCTTAGCTCTGATCTGAGAGTTTCCTGTTAAGAGGACTGTCTTACCCACCCTTTCCTGCAAAAGATGCTACACGTTGAGCCGCCAGCATCAGCAGTATCTCCTCTGAAATTCACTCATACATATTCTTCCATGCTTTGGCCACTCAGTGTGAAAGTACAGAGAGCCTGCCTGCAGGCGAGACAACTTAGGAATATGCTGTGATGGAAATGCTTGTGCTGCACGTACGGCATCCGAGGCTGGGGAGAGGCAGAAAGAGCTGCCTGTGCAAGGGCAGGTAGGGCTCCAGCTGGCACTGGTGCGCGTTCATCCCACTCGTGCCGTGCAGCCCTCGCGCCCACGCTTTGGGCATGGAACAGAGAAACATTTAATCTTTTTCCATCTATAAGCATAAGGCTCAAACTTTCCTGTGTGCTTTTTAGTGTCCATTTGCTATTAGTAAGATCAAAATATGGAAAAAAGGAAAAAGTTCAAGTAAGATTTGTGACAGGAACATTGAGAGCTGAGCCACAGAACTCGATTCCCAAAACTCAGGAGGCATATGAGCTTATTAAAATTTAGTCTTTTTGGGTAAGTCTGTCTATTTGCAACTTCACCACTATTTCAGAGCGGCCATAGAACATAAACTACAGACCTTAGCTGTCTTCTGACTCCATACACCACCTCTGTAAGTATATATCATTCTTGATGCTAGGTTTTGCATATAGACCCCCAGTGACACAGCTGTAAATAAAGCAGTGCTGACAGAGACAGTTTGTCCTCCAAATGTAAAGCACTTAAATTTGCAGAGCTTCCTTGCCTTCAAAAGCATCCTGTTAGATGGCAAAGAGACCAAAATACACACACACGTTCACCAGCCCCATGCAGCAACTGGAGGAGTAAGTGGCACACTGCCTCTGTAGGTAGCTTCATTTAGAGACCCCAGGGGAAGAGACAGGGCCTGGCTTCCTTAAAAAACTCCAGCAAAGCCAGCAGAAGCAGCTGGAAGAGCAGAGAGAATTCAGTTGTCATGCCCACTATTGAAAGGACCTGTATTTGTAAGATATTTACTTTCTGGAAACCTTTAACTCACAGCTACATCTCGAGTTCCCATCTTTAACAGCATAAGCAGCGTATTTCCAGGAAACACTCCTGCTGCTTTTCTATTTCACGTGGGGTTGTTCCTGCAAGATTGCTTTTGTACACCACAAGCAATCTAGGAAAGAAAACCACACTGCTCACCATGCACTGACAAAGGTAACAAAAAAGAAGCTGCAAAGAAGTGATGAAGTCTTGCTTTAGCATTTCAGGCTTTTCTTCAGATAACACCCTTAAAAATGACCCGTTTCCAGGGCAAAGTCTCCTAGTGGGAAGGAAGTGTACTGGATTCACACTCTCAAGCCCACAGCTGACAGTGGGTTCTGGTTCCTCTTCCTGGCCTTCGGCTTATTACTTACTTGACTTGCTATTACCATACGTGAGACTCTTATTTTGGATTTACTATTTTGTTTTACACCAAACTAGGTAAAAGCAGACACAATCCTGGGAGGAAGGAACAGGACACAGGGTTCGCCTTCAAGTGGACTGCTCTAAGTCTCTGGGTGACAGAAGCTGCTCCCACATACTCTCCCTCTGCCCACGTCTCATACTCTCTACTACCACGAGGTCTAGAGTCAGTGGAGGAAGCTGAGGATGACCAGTAGCTCACAGTGGCTCAGGAATGCTGAACACTAAGAGAGGTGTGGATTTGAACTCCTTTGGTCTCAAAACAGCACTGAACTCGGGTCTTTTCCTCAGGCTTTCACACAAAACAGGGTGGTAGCACTAGTGCTGGCCGTTATGTCCAAGGAATGGGATGTGCTGGTTGCCTGCACCCAGAGATGGTCTAGCTCCAGTATGGGGGTTCAGAGCGAATCCGAGGCACACGTGGGGGCACATTCAGGACTACAAGTAGGTGACTAAGTCTGGGAGACAGGCACTCCTCTCTCGCATCTCCTGTGGACTGCTGGAGGTGTGTTCCTTCCTGGCATGCTCTCTGCTGTGAATCTTGGATTTTAGTACTTAACCATCCCACCTGACTTTATATGCAGTTTAGTCATCGAGCTCTGATTCACTGAGTTGTGCTCCCAGAACAATGACAAGAAGCTGGGCACAGCTGACATGGTCAAGCCTAAGGGTACCAAGAGGCATCCCTCCCAAATCCCACTGCGCTGGCCAGTGAAGCCAGCCCTCCCCACTCTTTGGTGGATGTCCACCCGCCTGCTTGCCAGTGGCCCCTCATCAGACAGATCTGTTTATCACGTTTCAGCTGACTGCATGGTCCACTAACAGCTGGTAACTAGGGCAGCTGGCAAAAATGCAGTCAGAGGGGATGTGGAGCTAAACTTCCCTATGACTCTCCAAAATTTATTCAAACCTGATGGGTGGGGGAGACTTACAGCTCAAATCCAGACAGAAGACTTTAGGGAAGAACTGCAACACAGATCCTGCACCCCTGCATTTGGATCTAAACTTGATTTTACAAATGATCTCCTCAATTCAGACTGCTGGCTGTGTAATCTAAACTAATTATCTTGATTTTTGCTCATTTTGCTTGTTTACTCTTCTTACTTTGGAAGAAGCATTGTTATAAAATAATTACAATTTATATCATTAAGTAGTTTTCTGATCTCATCTAAATACTATAGTTTTGGTAGTAATCTGAACTACATTAATGCAAATTATAAGCACTGCAGATCTCAAAATGAATACAGAATGTGACTTGTGTATGCTGTGAAACCACAATCAATCAAGCCCTTCTCTAAAAACACAGTCACTGCAAACTAATTACCGATATTGGCTGAGAGCCATGGTGTATATTCTGCATATCACTATGATCTGGGCTTGTGTTTTTCTTAATTGTTTTTAACTTGTAGATTTCTAGAGCAGCCACAAGCGGATGTTGGAACAGACAAAAAGCATTACAAGTTGGGGATTTTTTCTGCTTTATATAACTTAAGGAGATTCTTCATATAGAAATCAGCCTGACCTAATTATTTTTTGTGCTTCTTATATGCAGCTTGAGCAGTTCTAACACCACCTTAAAAATAGCTCCAATAAATTTTCTCTTCTCAGCCTGAAATGACCTTTGTCAGGGGGAACATATGTTCACAGAGCACAAGGGAACAGTCTGGGGAACTTATCTTTCTGTTCAAACAAAATGGATCTTTGGGTCAGAGATGGAAGGATGCTGCTTTGCCACAGCAATCTCAATAGAAACATTGGGACTGGAAGTTCAAAAAATACACTAAGAGTTGTGTAGCATGATACTCAACTTGCACTTGACAGTTTTATAAAGCATATGTGTAAATCCACCTACAGACAAGTATCTTTTATAACCAAGCATGTAATGTCACCTCAGGAAATTTTTTATATACCTGGCAGTGCTATTTGGTGTGTATGAAGGGAAATGGATAGGCTGGGCAGAAGTATTTTTAGCAGTTGGAAAAAGTCATCTTTGGCAGGGATGACTTAGCAGTACACAGAAAGGGAGCGAACTCCATCACAGACTGGGAAAACATCCCAGCCCTCCCGTCACATTGGTGGCAGAAATTTAACAA